GCCCCGGGACTGCCGCCGGGCGTCCCACTCCTCGGAAGTCCCCAGCAGGCCGGCGGTTGCGCAGGCGGGGTGCATCCACCGTCGACCTCCTTCCAAGGCCCCAGCCTTCCTTCGTGGAGCGGGAAGAGCCCAGCGGGGCCCGAGGAAGGTCTTCTGGGCCAGTCACTCCACGGCACTCCTGGCTGAGGCCGAAACTGGCCTCGTCCTGGTCGGGGGCAGCAGGTTTGGAGCCCCCATCTCAGGGGTCCCGTGGGAAGGGGACGCCTCGGCCTGGCTCCACTTGCGGCACTCCGTTCGGGCCACATAGGGGCCGTCTGACCGTGCACAGAGGCACTTCCGTGTTCTGGACTCGGGGCTGCCCCCCCCCCCCCCCCCCCCCCCCAGTGTTTCGAAGGAGCCCTTTCTGCAGCTGTCGGGGCTGCCGTGTGCGCCTTGGCCGCGGGTGCCGAGCCGTGCAGCTGTTGGGAGCGACCGGAAAGGGACCTCCTTGGGGTGGCCGCACATCTGCAGTGCTGGAGGGGAGGCGTGGGCCCGGGCAGCCCAGGGTGGGCTCGGCCCCCAGGCAGGGTGAGGGCGACCTGCCCCTCCTGCTGGGCTATGAGAAGAGCAGCTGGGCCGCCGGTGACGGCCATCGTGGGAACCCCTTTGCTCCGAGGAAAAGCTGCAGGGAGAAGCGTGAAACTGGAGCTGGGGAACCGCCTGCCAAGCGGCCCATGCTGCCGCGGCCGCTCCTTGCCTTTTGGGGCACGTGGCCCAGCCCGGCCGCCTCCCCCCTTCGGCAGCTGGTGGCGGCTGGGCTGAGCTGGGCTGGCTGGCTGGCTGGCTGGGCCCGGCGGCCATCTGCCCTGCACCGCCTCGCCGTGGATGCCTCCTCTTCCTTCTGCGTGATGACTGAGCCCGCCGTGCTGTAGGTAAGCACCTTTCCCGGGGGAACTGGAACCGGACAGTGAAAACACCTCACCGTGAGCCAAAAAAAGCTTCTGGGGCAGCCAAGCCCAAAACATGGAGGGGGTGGCCAGGGCAGAGGGCTAATATGGAAGGCGTGAACCTCGCTTCTCTCCCAGAGGGTTTAAAAAAGCCGAAAGGGTGTGCAGAAGTCAGCTGGAGTCTTTCTAAGAAGAGCTCTTCCGAGTCAACAGCAGCTTTCATTGCCTCGGTTGGAGGCAAGCCCCGGGACCCGGCACCAGTGCGGGCACGGCCTTCTGCGTGCCCGCTGGCATCCTCGCCGCCGCTCAGCATGCCTCTCCTCTGCCGGGGCAGTGCGAAACATGAGCCCTGGAAATGGGTTCGGGGGCTGCGGGGCTGCCGGTTGCAGAGGCTGGCAGGCTGGTGCTCCCTGCCTGCAGAGGCTGAGCCCAGGCCAGGCACGGTGCTCTGGGGCGCCTGGATCCCCCGGCCATGGATCCGGGGGGCACGGTGCAGCTCTCCACACCCCCAGTGAAGGAAGCCGCAGGATTTGAGGAGACCGGTCCTGGAAGACGTCTCCATTCGGGGCTCGCGCCAAGGGGATGTGTTTAGTCTTTGTTTAAAGTGCTTCCATGGCAAAGCCGTCTCTGCTTCTGCCCCGACTGCACAGGCACAAAGGGAAAGAGGCCTGTAATTTATCTAACAGGTAGGCCAGGAAATCTTTGGGCTCTGTGCAGGATTGAGGTCTGTCTAGACCCAGGATTTAAGCGTGTTGTTACAACAGGCTGTGCCAGAACTCTGCAGAGCCACTCCGTTAATGCACATTAAGCTCCTGGAAGCACAGCAAAGGTGTTCTCCAGGCCGGGGACACCGTCCCTGGGAGGCAGCCAGGGCAAGAAGTAGCCTCTCTCCTTAGGGTGCCAGCCAGAGATCTGCATCAGTGGCCCGTTTTGCTGTCACGTGCCGTCAAGTCCTCTCTGAGTCACGGTGACCCGATGAACACAAGCCCCACGAAACATCTGATCCATGGCTGCCCGGCTCAGCGCTTCCCAATTCGAGGCTGCGGCTCCCGTAGTCGGTTCTGCTCCTTCTCCCGCCCGCAGCCTCTCCCAGCAGGATCGCCTTCCCATAATGCCCCGGGGGGTGGCTTTAAGGGCTCTTCGAAGGGGGGAACCACACTGGCCTGAATGGGGCGACCCCCGGGCTGTTGCACGCGCCCTGCGTGTGTTGCCTGGCGGGCTGCCGTGACGGCGGGAGTCGCAGGCTCGAACGGGATTGGGGGCTGGCGGGGCTCCTCCCGGCCGGGCCGCCGGAGTGTGGCTGTGAGGAACTGTTTGAGCAGCAGGGATGGGGCCGTGTGTGTTCCCCACCTGTGCTGTGTGTGTGTGGGGGGGCACTCCTTGGCTGGTGGGGCTGCCAGGCAGGTGTGCACAGAGGGGAAGCCGCGAACATCGTCAGCCGTGGGGCTCAGGTCAGCACAGGGATCCTTGCCAGCTGGAAGCATCTTGGGGCGCAGAAGGGGTGTCCAGTCCCCTGCACGGCGTGCGGTGCCTCCTGGGGCAGCCGCAGTCCTGAGGCTGGGAGGCAGAGGGGCCTCGGGTGCAGGGCAGGTGGGGAGCACTGCCCCCACCCTTCTTCCTGGGGGGCTTCTGGGCCACTGCTTGCCCCGTCAGGCACGCAGGGTGGGGGAGGACCCCGAGCAAGCAGGGCGGGCGGTGCCTTGAAGCTGGCCGAGGCAGGCGGGGCAGCGAGCCCCCCAACCCGCTCCAGGGACCGTTGGCCTGGCGGGGCTTCTCGCGGCCCTTCCTGGAGGGAGGTGCTCTTGCACCCCGCAAAGCTGGGCATCACAGGGCAGCGGGGCGGGAGCTGCGGCGGAGCAGCCGCGGGGCCTGCGTGGTCCTCTCGCTGGGTGGGTGGGAGGATGGGCCACTTCAAGGCCCGGCGAGGGGCCACTCGGCCCTTTCCCCTTCCAGCTGGGCAAGTGCTGGAAGAGGCCCAAAGATAACAATAATAGTTGATCTTGCGGCAGGAGGGCCCTGATTCTTCAGAGGCGCGCTCTCTCCCTCTTTCCCCCTCTCCCTCTCCCTCAATCATCTCCAGCATTAGCAGCTGATCTTCTTACTTTGTCCGAGTCTGGAGCCAAGCTAAACATCGCCCGGCCGACAGCACGGAGCATTCTCTTTCTCTTTGCTCTCTGCAGAAGGGCCTGGCCAGGCCCAGCTCGGCCGGTGGGCCGCAAGGCATCCAGCCAGGGCCGCGTACCTTCTGCTTCCTGGCCTGCAGTTACTGGTGCGGGTCGCCCGGACCATCCCCCCAGTGAGCACAGTGGGTCTGCGTCAGGTCTTGGCTGGCGTGGCGACTGAAGGGGAGCGACTGCAGTGGGGAGTGGGGGGCTCCTGCCACAGGGCACCCCTTCCTCTGCCCGCAGGGTTGCATGTTGCTGGATCGGGGCCAGAGGAGTGCAGGCCCCTCTTCGGGCCAGGGCGGTTCTTCCCCAAGGCTGCTCTTCCACACGAGGGCCTCTGGTAGGGGGTTCCTAGGCAGAGCGAACCCTGAGCTGGGTGGGGAGGACTGGTCCCTCCGCTGGGAACGTGGAGGCTGCGGTTGAGGGAGAGGCTCCATTTCCTCCCCGGGGACGGGACACGGCGGTGCCGCAGAACCGCTCCTGGAAGGAAAAAGGTAGCCTCCCCAGCTGGGGTCGCTCCTCCTCTGACCCCTCACCTGTCTGGGGTGCTTGGAGGGAGGTGAGCTCTCTTGCTGCCCCTTCGGAGGAGCTCCAGCCAGGAACGGCCTCCTGGGAGAGCTGCTTATTTTTAGTGCAGGCCTGAGGTGAGGGAGAAGACAGGATCAAATCTCCGTGAGCAGAGCCGCTGCCTGCCTGGAAGGGCTGGTGGGGGACGTGGCTGGAGCCCTGTGCGGCCAGGCAGCCAGGCAACGCAGACGTGGCTCTGGAGAGCCAAGCCCGGGGGCTCCTCCAGGCGGTCGTCTGCCGTGAGCCGGAGCACAAGGCTGAGCCGCCCCTGCTCTGTCCGGGCTGAGCGCGTCAGTTTGCGCACCTTCGGAGCCGGGTGGAGCTCCAACGGCACCACGTCCCCCGGGAGCAGGATCCCTGCTGGGTGTCACAAGCGTGTACTCCGATCCATTGTGCTCTGAGGACTTCCCCCACAAAATGTTGCCTAATGACCATTGTTTGACTTCTTTGCTCGTAATTCCTTGGGGCTGACGCAGAATGGAGCCGGTCCCAAGCTTCAGTTAGTCACCGCTGTGCAGAAAGAAGAACCGGGGCTTGGCGCCGCCTCGAGAGCCAACGGCACACGGATGCTCGGCTGCACGTGTGGAAGGGCAGCCTCGCGCAGCACCTTAATTGCAGCCGTTGTTCTTCTGGCAAGTGCTTTAGTGGGCAAAGGGCCACACGCTGCAGCCCGGGGAACCCCGGGGGTCTCTCAGCCCCAAAAGCCCTGCCCTCGGGCACCCAGGCAGCACGGAGAGGTGCAGAGTTGTGTATTCCGGGGGCAGAGGGGCTCCTTGGAGCAGGCCGAGGGTATGGTGCGGGAAGAAGGGGGAAGGCCGGGGGAGCAGCCCTCTGCCTCCTGGAGGGGTGTCCCCAATCCAGCGATGCGCCCCACGGCCCCAGGGCGGTGCCCAGCCGCCCGGCGACCGGCCCGGGCGCCTGGGGCAGCCTGCTTTGCGGGGAGGGTCCGGCGCGGGAGTCCAGGTGGAGGGGGCGGGAAGGGGGCGGGGAGGGATCGTGTTGCTCCGGCTGCCCCTCCCCAGCCAAGGCATGGGGCAGAGGAGGGGGAGGGACCAGGCGGGGAAGAGGAAGGCGCGGGAGGGCGCTGAGCCAGAGCGGCGGCGGCCACCCCTCTCGCGCTCAGGCTTCCCTCTTCTGCTCCTCGCCAGGCTGCTGGAGGGCGGCCGGCCCCGGGCCAGGCGGCGCGGCGCAGCGCGGCGCAGCGGAGGAAGGGAGGACTCGGGCTGCCTCTCACCTGCTCCCGCAGCCGCTGCTCGCCGAACCGACCGGCGGCCGCGCTCCGCCACCTGCCCCGGCGCGCCTCCGCCAGCATCCTCTCCGCGCTCTGCGGCGCCCCGTCGCCTCGCCCGCCGCGCGAAGCCCCACGATGCCCAACTTCTCGGGCAACTGGAAGATGAAGAGCTCGGAGAACTTCGAGGAGCTGCTGAAGGCGCTGGGTGAGTCCCTCGGCCGCCGCGCCCCCGCGCCCCGAGCGCGCCCGTCCCGGGAAGGGCTGAGCAGGCGCCTGGGGCACGGCCCCGCCGGCTCGCTCCGGGAAGGCGGCGACCGCGGCCCGGGGCCCCTCCTGCTCGGGCTCTCCAGGCACCCGCCGGGCGCCCAGGATGGGCCTTCCGGGGCTGCCTGGCCCGGGTGTCCCGCGGGAGGAAGGCCGCTGGCGGAGCGGGGCAGCCTCTGCCCTCTCCGCTGCGCGCCGCGGGTGTCCAGCGATGGGCGCCCGTCCCGTGGGCAGCCGTGCAGGGGGTTCTCCCGGCGGGCCGGGCTGCAGCAGTGCTCCGTCCCGCGCGCCCGCCGCCCTGCGGACCTACCTGCCCGGGCGCCCCTTCTCTTCGCCTGCGGGCGCGCAGAGGCCGCTCTCCCTTTCCCCTGGGGCTCCCCGCGGCCGTGGGGCCCGCAGGCCAGTGTGGGGCAGGGCAAGGTCCCGGCCACGGGCTGCTGCTCCACTCGCTCTCCCCAGTGGCTCTGCCCCCCAGGTGCCTCCTCCTCGCACGCTGGCCAGGCTTCGGGTGTGCGGCCGGAGGGCTCCCAGCCGGGCTGGGCTGATCAGGGCCGGACCCGAACGACCCCGCTGCCTTGGCCAGAGGGGGTGAGTCTGAGCAAGCTGCCCGGGCGGGCTGCTGGGCTGCGACCTCTTCCAGTCCCCTGGGGAAGCCCTCCAGGGCCCCTGACTCCCCCTCCGTCCCTGGAGAAGCCCCTCCTGCTGCCACCCCGTCCAGACACAGGAGCAGGCGAGAGGGAAAGCAGGTGCTGGGCGCTTGCCTTGGTTCTGCCCTCGGGTGGGAGGTGAGCCTGCTGGCCGCTGGCCCCCCCTCCAAGAGGGGCGCTGTGCCCATTGCCCCTCGAGGGCCGATGCGGGAGTGGAGCGCCCCACAGAGCTCCGCGGGGAGTGTACTTGGGGAGGCGGCGGGTGCCCCTGTCCGTCAGCCAGCGCGGCATCCTCGCTCGCCGGGTGTCTGTCAGCCCAGCTTGTGGCCGTGTGCCCCCCTCCTCTCCTTTGCCCCCTGCGGGGCGAGTGCTGTGAGCCCCGCTTCCGCCTGGCCTCCTCCTCGGCGCCCCTGCCCCCCAAATGTGCTGGGCCGTCGGTCCACGTGGGAGGGGATGGGCCGGGGAGGCAGCTCCGTTTTCACTCCATCCCCCTTTGTCCTCGGGAGCCGCGCACTCAGGCCTCCCCGTGGAAACGGTGGCGCAGGGCAGGGACTTGCGGCGGTCCCGGCGGGCAGAGAGCGGCCGGGGCCGGCGGGGCTGCCGGCGCCTCCTGGGCCCCTCCGCTGGGCGCCTGTGGGCGCTCCAGTCAGCAGAAGGTGGGGAGTGCCAGAGGCACAGTGGGGCTGGGGCAGGGGCCCACGGGCCGGGCCCCGCAGGCCGCTGCCCCATGGGGAGCAGCACCTCCAGATCGCACAGCCCACGGTGGAGGGAGAAGGAGCAGGGCCGTTGAACCCCAGCGCTGCGGTTCTCCTCACGGAGGGCGGCAGGCTGAGCCACACCCCAGCGTGACATTTCTTGCCGCCTCTCTGATTCAGCTGCGGGGAGGGAGGTCCCGGGCCCTGCCTGCTCCGTGAGAAGGCCGAAGGGCCCCTTGCCCCTGGCGTCTTCTGCGGGAACAATGGCGGGCCCGCCCTCCCGCTCCTGGCCTGCAGTGCTGGGGAGCCTGTCTCCGGCCACACCGGGCGGGGAGAAGCCCCCTCACCTTGTCTGGGGGCCGCGGGAGCCCCGCCCCCGCTCTGCTGGGCTCGGGCCAAGGAAGCCCAGGCAAAGAGGCCCCCCCAGGCCCCACGTGGGGGGCAGGGGGCTCGGAAGGGGCTCAGTTCTCCTCACTGCAGCATGGAGAGGCTTTGTTCCCTCCCAGCGAAGGGAGTGCGAGGCGGCTGAGCGGAGCCTGACGCCCGGCTTGGGCACTGGGGATGCACAGCATATTTCAGGGTAATTATCGCGTGCTTATATTTCAGCGTGTTTCTCTCCCTCCCCCCCAGCCGCCCTCTCCCCGCATTTGAATTATCTAGGCAGAAAGCTGCAGATGCTGATGGGGCCGCGGAAGTGGCAGGAGGCGGGGGAAAGTACCCGCCTGCGAGCGAGCGAGCGAGCCGGCCCAGTGGAAGGGCCAAACCTGCCCCTCGTGTGGCTGGATCCCACTGCCCGTGTGGTCAAGCGGAAGCCCTCGGCCCCCCCCCCCCGAACGCGGAGCCAAGCCTGTTTTCTGGCCGCTCCAGGGGGTCACGTGACCCATGCCAAGCAGGCCGGAGGCGCTGAGCCTTCAGTGCCCCGCCGGCCCCGCGTCTCCTGCCCCCCTTCTGGCCCACCCGCCAGACCCGCTGTGTGCCGGGCAGCCCCCGCTGTGGACGACGGGGGGCACCGGCCGCCCGAAGGGTGGGGTGGGTGCAGGCCCGCCCCCGCTGGGCCCCTCTCCTCACATCGCCCACGCCAACCCGCCCCCGATGCCTCCTGCTGTCAAGTGCGAGGGGGCCCTGCAGAGGCCCCATGGCTGCCGTGGGTTGTACTCTCGACCCCGGGAGGGCGGTGAGTGCAGCTGGCTTGCAGGGGCTGGGCAGAGCGGTGGGGCCGAGCAAGCAGTCTGGCCCGGCGGGGCCCATTTTCCCCTTGAAAAGCCTCACGCTGCATGCTGCTTTTTTTCTCTTTTGGCTGCTTCTACCAAGGGCCTTAACCTTGCTGCTCCCCTACGACAATGACACTCGCTGTTCGCATCTCATAATCCACCTTCATATGGGGAAACTTGGCAACACCCTTGCCTTGGAAGGGTTGCAGCTCCGCACCAATGTTTCCTGTGACAGTAATTGTTCTCGGAGGGAAATCTTGTGCCCATTTCTCCCGCTGGAAGGGTGAGGCTCTTTGACTCTCCCACTGTGCTCCTGTCTATGGGCGGGACCAGGAAAAACAACGTCCGTGTTTGAGGTTGGGCTGTAAGAACAAAAAGAGAGAAAAGGAAAGCAAGCCAGCAAGGAAGAATGGAAGAACGAGAGCAGTGTGACTGTGGTAGGAGGGGCAGCCCGTGTGTGAGCCGCTGGTGCGGAGGCGCTGCTTCCTGCCCTGGCTTAGCAGCCGCAACCTCGAAGTGAGGGATCCGCGGGGCCCCAGCGCACACGTCCTGCGGGTGCTGCCCTCCGGCTCGCCTTCCTCGCCGGCTCCCCCTCGCGCCTGCCCGTTGCATCACTGCGGATCTGGGCAGGGCTGCGCAGCCGCCGCGCCTCCCTGTGGGAAGCCGCCGCGATGGTGCAAGCCTGGCTTGTGCAAGACCCGGGGCCACGGGCCGGCCACAGCGGGAAGGCAGGGAAGCGGGTCCCAGCCCGCAGGCGTCCCCTTGCCTTGTGGGGCCCCTGCGGGCCACATCGACCCCCGGGGGAGGTGTCGAGCGCAGGAGGGAGCCGGGCCGCTGCGAGCGGCCGTGCCGTCGGGGCTCCGAGTGGGGCCACGGAGGCCCTGTCCGCCTCCTGCCGCCTCCTTCCCCCCGCCGTGCCGCTCGCCCCCCTGCCCCCGGGTGCTCCCTCGCTGCGGCTCCCTGGAGAGCGCGGAGCAGCAGGGCGAGCGTTGCTAGAGCTCAGGGGCCCTCCTGAGCCGGGGGCCCTGCGGGGGCCAGCGGCCCTGCCCGGGACTGTCCGCTAGGTGTCCGTCAGCAGTGGCTCTTTCTCCGAAGAGCAGTCGAAACGAACTGGGAACGGCACCCCATGCTGGCGTCGGGTGTCTGGGCACCTCACGGGCCCGCAGCTCCGTTGTGCGAGCTGCTGTGGACGAAGGTCTGCACTGCTGCCCCTCTCGCGCTGAGCGGGAGGGAGAGGTTCGTGGCGGAGGGAGGGAGGGAGGGAGGGAGGGCAGGCAGCCAAGCGCTCGGATGGGCGGCGTCACATTTCACTGCAAAGCGGAGACGAAATTAAGATCCCCCTGGAAGGGAGCAGAGTCCCCGCCGGGTGGGCGTGACCCTCTCTCCGTGGGTCTCGGATGGGGAGAGTGGGGGGATGCCGGGCTCCCGCCTTCCTGGGCCAGGCAGGGTGGGGTGGGGGCCCTGCATGGGCCCCCCAAGTGTGGGAGGTGTCACCTGGGCTCAGGAAATCCCCCAGAGGGGATCCGTGCTGCGGGGCATTACGGCCGAACACGAAGGCCGAAGCCGCCCTGCCTCTGCGTCGTCCTGCAGGTCACTCTGCTGCAGTGCGGCAATAGCACCGGTGGAGCTCAAGCCAGCGGCGCGCAGATGGCGCGGGGGCTGGCTGGCACGCTTCCAAGTGCAATTCACAGCGCTGGAGTCGGCCTCGGATGCCTGAACCCGTGTGGGGCTGGGCTGCGTAAGCACCCCCTTCGCCCCAGCGGTGCCGCCCAGGAGTCGCAGCCGCTTCGGCTCTGTCCACATAAGCTGAGGCCTCTTCAGTGGTGGTCCCACCGCTCAGGAACTCCCCCCCCCCATGTGCATTCTGCCTGGCTCCCACCGGGCGCCCTCGGAGCGTGTCCTTTCCTGGGCAGCGTTTTCCCTGCCTCTGGCTTTCTGGGGGCAGTGGGGCCAGAGTGCTGCCCCGGGGGAACATGTCCGGCCGGGCGAGCTGTGGCTTTGTGTCCTGCGAATGCTTCCCCGCAAGGTGGTGGAGCGAGGCTGGAGGCGCACAAACGCCGCCTGAGCCAGCCGCTTGCAGAGGCTGGTGGCAGAGGCAGGCCAGCACACGTCGGCGGCGCGATTTGACACTCCTTTCGCGAAGCAGCGTTTCGCCCGGCGAGGGATCGACAGCCGGTGCCACCCAGCTCTTCCCCAAACCAGTTTCCCGACGGAGGACTCGGGGGCGGAAGGACGCTGGCTGTGCGGAGTCGGGGGCTGGAGGCCCCACACGTCCGGGGGGTCCCGCCGGCGCCTTCCAGGCAGACGGTCGCCTTCTCTTGGCTTCGGACTGGCCGGTGGGCAGCGCGCATGGTGGCCCCAGCCACGGCGGCCTGTGTGGGGGGAGCCCAGTGCCCCCCGCCTTCCCAGCCGTGCCCTCAGGCGTGCGCCCCCGGGGCAGGGGCAAGCCAGAGGCCCCCGGGGGCCCTCGCCCGGACGGGCGGGGGCTCCGGCTGTCCTCACCGGCTCCTCCTGCCGCCACCTCGTTCCAGGCGTCAACGTGATGCTGCGGAAGATCGCCGTGGCCGCCGCCTCCAAGCCGGCCGTGGAAATCAAGCAGGACGGGGAGGAGTTCTACATCAAGACCTCCACGACGGTGCGCACCACGGAGATCAGCTTCCGGATCGGGGAGGAATTTGAGGAGCAGACGGTGGACGGCAGGCCCTGCAAGGTGAGGGCCGCGCCGGGGCTCCTCTGGGCAGGCAGCCCCTCTTTCGGCTCCCCCTCCTGTGCCCCGGAGCCCGTCGGGGGCCGATGGACGACCCCGCAGGACTGGCCGGCTGGGCTGGGGACGGGGTGGCGGAGGAGCCCCGGCAGGGCCGGGGGCTGCTCTGCGGACCGTTCCGGGGCCCCTTTTCTCAGAGGCGCCCCCCGTTGTGCCCCCAGAGCCTGGCCAAGTGGGAGAGCAGCAACAAGATGGTGTGTGAACAGCGGCTGCTGAAGGGGGACGGCCCCAAGACCGGCTGGTCCAGGGAAATGACCAACGACGGGGAGCTCATCCTGGTGAGGGCGCCCGCCGCTCCGTGGGGTGGTGGGAATGTCTTGAGGGCCCCCGGGGGGTGGGCACGGCCCCCAGCACTGAGCATCCGGCCGGGGGCAGGCCTCGCTCCCTGGGCCTCACTTGACGCCTCCCTTTCCTTTGCAGACCATGACTGCGGACGACGTCGTCTGCACGAGGGTTTATGTCCGGGAATGAGGGCCCTGCTGTGGGGAGGACCAGAAGAGGCAGGCGTGTGTGGGTCCGGCTGCGAGAGCCCCCAAGCCACCACTCCTTCTAGCTGTTGCACTGTCCGGCCAAAGGGACGCTCGGCCACCTGACCCCCCCCCCCCGCTTCCCCCGCCTCCCATCTCTCTGCTCATGCCCAGAGGCACTGCGTGCGGCTAGAGTTCATGGAGCAGCTTGGCTCCCCACAGCTGCTCCAAGGTGGGGGGGGGCAGCTGGGGGCCCAGATGGAAAAAGCCAGCCCTGTCCTTTGGATGCCCCCACGCCCCCCACAGGCGCACACGTCAAGGCTTCCCTTGTTCGGGAGATTAATTGCGGAATTTCGGATCAGACCTGAGGTCAGGGAGGGATGCCCTCGGCCGGGGCTCCCCCTCCCTCCCTCCCTCCCTCCCTCCCCGGGGGGGGACTAGTCCTCTTGTCCCTCCAGTGCCCCACGGCTGGCCACACGCTCCTCCCTTTCCAGTCCTGGGAAAGCCCCTGCCTTTGTGCCCGTCCCCCGAACAACCCGAAGGAAAGTAGAAATAAAAAATTGGGACAGAAAGCATGGCGTGGGCCGCAGGATGTCTTGCACGTGGCATTTTGGTCGTCTGCTCCCCGGAACCTTTTCCGTGCGGGCAAAACGCATTTTCCGCTCTCCGGCCGAGACACGTCCTGGTCCCCCTCCAGACACACACAGCTGGCCAACGTCTTCATATCTCCTCTTGCAGCCACGACTGTTCTTTCCAAAGTATTTATTTGTCACCCCTGCGTCTGAAAATCGCCTCTGCTCCCGCACCCCCAAACCTCTGGCACGCCCCACAGGGCCTGGCGGGCTCTCTTGGCCGAAGCGCCCACCTCTCCGACCCTCGCCCTTCTCGCTAATAAAGGTCTTCTAAGAACGACCCCTTGTGTCTTGTGGCATGAGAAACCTTGACCTGTCTCCCATCTCGACGGTCTCCCCCTCCTGCATGCACTCTGTGTGTTCCCAGAGTCACCCTGGTGCCACACAGGCAAGCCCCGCCACCCTGCAACCACAGTCGTTTGCAAGCGGGCTGGAGATGCAAATCTGCACTTCCCACACAGGGTGGAAGAGAGACCCTTCCCCAGCCTGGCGCTCTGCCCGCTGCCAACAGCCCCACTGGCTGGGGATGATGGGAGCTGAGCCCTGCTGCTCCGGAGGGCCTCGGCTTTGCTAGGGGGATCCTGGGGGGCAGGGCTGGTATCGCTGAAGTGGGGCTTGCTTGCACTCCAGCTGCAAGCAGAGGCTCGAACGGCCCCCTTTCCCCAGGCATGGGGGAGGCCCGGACCCCCGTCCCCTCAGGGCCGTCTCAGCTGGGAGTCTGGCCCCCAACGGTTGCTGGCTCCTTGCCGTCTGCAGGGTCAAGGAAGTCGCGGCGGATGCGGCTTCCCTGGCTCAACGGGGGCTTCATTTGCGGCGACCTCCCGAAGTCCCCCCAGGTGAGGGTGCGGAAGCCCCGTGCCCTCCTCTGCGAGCTCCCTGGAACGGTTTGCAGGACTGGGAATCGCGGTCCAGCTGCAACCCGGCAATTTGTCTGCCTCGCACGGCTGGCCCCGGGGGCGGCATGGGCGCAAGGGCAGGGGGTGATGGCGGGGGGGCTGGCCCGGCTGCCTCCCCCTCCCACCCCGGAGAGCGCCCCGTGCCCCGCCGCCCGCCTCGGAGGGGGCTGCGCGAGTCCCCGGGCCAGGCAGCGCCCGCAATGCTGCCGTCCCTCTCCCACCGCGCTGGGCGGCTGGGCCTGATTAAACAAAAGCGGAATTCTTCCTCCCGGGCTGTTTGTTGTGTTAGCCTCGCCGGGGAGTGAAGTCATCCTTGGACCACTCCTTGGAAAGTCAGGGCAGGCCTGGAATGCGGTTCGGCAGATGCCCCCCCGCCACGCTGCCTCTTGCCGGGAGAGCCGGCGTGCAGGTGGGGGCCGGCTGCGCAGTTGCCCGGTGGGGGAGCCGCGTGGCGGGCTGGCTCGGCGCCCCCAGCCCTCTCTGGCCCCTGCGGCAGTCCAGTGGGCACTTTGCCGCCCACCCCGGTGAGGACGCTGCCCAGAGGCCTGCCCCGTGCCTGCTCCCACTCCCGGCACAAGACATTGCTCGGGGGGGGGGTCCTCCTCTGCTCGTACTTTGCGGCAGGCCCGGCGGAGGGGGCCCCACTGCCCATCCACAGGTTCTCGTGATGGTGCAGCAGGTGAGCGCCATGGGTGGGAAGGCCGGCTGTTCAAAGCCGCGTGACAGGCGAGCGCTGCCGCGTTGTCCCAGCTCCTGCCAGCCTTGCAGCTTGAAAGCGTGCCAATGAGGGGAGATAAAGAGGCGCCACTTTGGTGGGAAGGCAGCAGGCTTCCTTCCATGCGCCTTGTGGGCAGTCGTGCCAGGCACGTGGCCACGGAGGCGTCTTCGGAGAAGGCTGGCTCCTCCGCTTACAAACGGAGATGAGCACCGGCCCCAGAGCCGGACACGACCAGCAGGCGAGTGTGGGGGAACCAAACCTTCACCTTTGCCTCCAGCCTGACTGTGCGGACGGCGGTGCCCCCCAGCCGGTCCACGTGTGCTGGAGGGCTGCCCGGGCCTGGCCACACACGGGTGGCACAGGCCTGTCCTCAGCTGCTTGCGGCCGCCGGCCGCTCAGGCCTGCCTCTCCGGTGCCTTCGTGCCTCACTCCGGCTGGTGCCGGAGGACCACGCTGGGGGTGTCCTGCTGCGGTCCCGGGTACGGAGGCAGCGGCCTCCTCCCGGCTCCCCAGGCACCCCCTTCCCGTGCACAGAGAGGCCTCGCCTCGCCTCGCCTCGCCAGCCCTGCTTTGTCTCGCCACACACTGGCAGGGATGGCTTCCCTCGGGCCCCTCGGCCTTGGCGCCCCGGCAGGTCAGAGGCCAGCAAGGAGGGACGTCCCTCTGTCCCCCCCCCCCCGCCGCTTATTGAGGCTGCAGCCAGGCAGGCAGCTGCGCCCGCCGCCCGCCTCCGTCTCCCGCCCTCACAGCGGCAGTTGATGAATGGCCTGCCAAGCAAGGGGAGGGAGCCCAAAAAATCTGCCCCCCCCCCCATATTCGGAGCATCTTGGGGTCACCGTGCCACTGGTCCCCGTCCCCACCCCCAGCCAAGGCAGCTGGCTTGTTCCTTGGGCAAGCCAAGAAGGGGCTGGACAGGCCCTCCAGGTTCCGCCCCCTTTCTGCTGAAGGGGCAGGATAGTCCCCTGCTCGGGCTTTCAAGGTGCTTGGCAGGGTCCCGCAACTGCCCGGCTGCAGCCCCAGAGCCCGCCTGGCCCCCACGGGTCTCTCTCGAGCCGGCACTGCCCCCTGGGGGGCTGCACACAGCATCGCGGGGCATCCCTGCGCCTTGGCTGGCCGGTCCATCCTGGAGCTTGTGGGCCCCACGTGGCCCTTCCCTGGGACCCCAAAGCCACGAAAGGCAAGCGCCTAGGTGGGCTCTTCTGGGTCCAGAGGCCGGAGCAGCAGGGCTTAGTGCTGCTCACACGCAGCCCAAGCTTCCCGAATTCCAGGAGATGCAGGTGAGGAGACCATCGGCCAGCGGTGGGGGGCAGGAATCTTCGCCGAATGCTTGCAGTGAGGCATTGCTGCTCGCTTAGGGCGAGTCTGCAACCGGGTTGGGAGCCGAGGCGCCTGAGCCCCCCATCTGAGCTGGCCATGCGCAGGCCTCGTGGGGAAAGGGTGCCTGCTGCCTTCTCCCCAAAAGCGCCCCCCCTTCGTTTGCTGGTGATCCCCCAGGGAGACCCCTGCTCTGATAGGGCAGAGCCCCCCCCAGCACAAACCATTCCTATAAACTGATAGGGCAGCTTCGCTTCTCCCACCCCTTCCTGCATGCAAAAAGTCACCCCCACCCAACTTTGCAGCCTAATGCAAAGACTGCAAGCACAAGGGACAGGAGGGACCATCAAGGAAGGAAGTGGCCTCGATCCCAGGCGAGGTCTGGCTAGTTAGGAGTACGGGGGAACTACCACTTCTCATGATTTGGAAGTGATACTTCTATTAATGCATCCCAAAATAGCCTTTGCCCTTTTGGCGGCTCACCCTTCCTCCGCCCTGGGCAAACATGTGCAAGCCTCCAAAACGCTGAGTTCGCACGACCGACCGCTCCAAAGCCCAAAGGGATCCCCTTTCTTCTTCGTTCTTCGTAAGGAACAAGACGGCAGGTCTTGGGAAGCTAGAGCGGCACCGGCAAGTTCTCCCTGTGCCGAGGACCCAGCCCCGCCGTCTGCAGGTGCGCAGCCCTCACGGCCTGATCCTGTGCCGACCAAGCGCTTGGATGCAGGTCAGGCCCTGCCCTGCCCTGCCCTGCCCGCCCCCCGGCACAAGCAAGGAGCACACGCCACCCTGTTCTCCTAGGCACGGAGCTGAGTCTTTATTGTCACGTTTGTTATCAGAAAACGTTTCATCATCTCCCATTGCCTTTCCAAATTATGTCATTTCATTTTGCATGCTGATGTTTACCCCTCTGGGCCTCCTTTGCAGGAGAGAAATACGGGAATTGCCCTCCTGGCCAAAGCCGCGCTGCAAGATGCGTCTCCTCGGCGGTTTCGCGGGTGCAGCCTGTCCTGCAAGTGCAGCCTGTCCTGGCCGAGCTGCTCCGACCGCCGGCTTGCCCCCTCCGCGTCGGTGGGGGACGCAGCAGCCATGTGGAGCAGCTGGGCTGGAGGGGCTGTGGGGAGGCGTCCTGGAGCTGCAGGGGGGCGGCCGATGCCACACAGGCCCCATGGTGGCCAGGAAGCCGGATGAGGGCTGGGGCGAGACCACTTCTGCTCAGGGAATGGGCCGGGTGGGGGCCCCATTCCGCCAAACCCCGGACTTCTATTCAGGCAGCGAGGAGGGAGCGCCTTGCAGGCCTGATGTGGGCGCAGGACTGCCTGCTCAGCCGCCCGGTGCCGCCACTTCTTGCCCCCGGGGCACCCCCTCCCCCATGGCCCAAGCAAGCTCTTCTATGGCAGCCCGGACACCACGGCCTGGGGCTCCTCTGCCCATCAGCCTGGACGGTGCTCGTCCTGCCCTTTCAAGATGACATCCTGTGCCGAGAAAATAATTCCAAGCAACCCCGTTTCAAATATTTTTCCTCTGTTCTACATTTATTCTGAAATCACTAGCAGCGCGGGCACAGAAGGAAGCAAAGCTTGCAGTCCCCAGACCACAGAAAAGAAAGCCTCATTCAGAGCCCCGCCTCCCTTGCCCAAGACCCCCACCACTGGCAAGCAGACCTCTGTGGCCTCTGCATGGACTAGGAACTTGTGCCTGTTCCAGAAAGAAAGGCAAGGCCACAGGCCGCAGGGCCATCTCGGCCTGTGCGCAGTCCGTCCGTGCGCGGGAGGTGCAAGCAGGCCCTGCTTCCGTGGAATTCTCTGCTGAGGGGATGGGGTGCCCCCTCTGGCCCTCCCGCCGAGCGCTGGCTGGACAGGGCAGGCTCCCGCTGTGGGGAGGGATGTGGGCCGGAGGGGGGGCTTGCCTGCTCTGGAAGGAGCCCCTGCGTGGCGGAGCAGGATGGCGAGGCGAGCAGGCCAGACGCGACCCACACGCTGTTCTGCGGCTCTTCGGAGCGGGGCCGCAACAGCCGCGGGAAGAGCCTGGGGAGGGCACACGGTCAGTGCCCGGGGCCACAGGCATCGGGGGAATATTGCCAAGCACAAATGTAAACATGGTTCAGAAGGCACTTCAGGCAGAGGACCCGGCCGGGGCTGAGAGGCGCCTGGGCACCGCGGCCGGCCAGCAGGCCCCATCTCCAGGGAGGGCCAGAGCACAGCCGGGCCGGAGGGACGGGGCCGGGCTGAAGAGGGCCCCGGGGCCTCGTGGCGGTCACCCCGCCTCCGCTGGGGCCCCTCGTGCACCTGCCTCCCTTCAGGCCAGTGCCAGGCCTGCTGGAGCCTGGTCCGTCATCGCGAGACCGCCGCGCGGCCACGGCCGAGGAAGCAGGCCAGCTCCTGGGCCCACGAGGCTCAGCTCCCGCTCTTCGGTGGCTGCCGCAGGACACGGCCACTCCTGCTCGCCACTCTCCGGGGACACGGGCCGAGCCCCGGGCCCGAGCAGGCAGAGGCGGCGCATGACCACGCACTCCCGGCCCAGCCGGGGAGCCCGCTGCTCCTCCTGCCGCCCGGGCGGAATGGCTTCTCCGAGGCCGCACTTCGCGTGGGCAGATAGCCCTTGCTGCACCAAAGGCCCGCTGGCCCCGCTCAGGGCTGCTCAGCGCAGGGGCCACCGGGGAGCCCCTCCGGGCCGGCCAAGCGAGTGCTGCTCCTGCTTACGGGGCCGTCGGGCCTGTGCCACAAAGGCCCGGGAGGCGACGCAGCCGCTGTGAGGCTCGCCCGGTTCTGCACGGCCTCCGGGGCGCTTTTGTCAACGGCCTTCGCACAATTCGGAAATCACAGGGCCGCAAACAGGGTGCCTGCACCCCTCCAGAAGACACCCGGGCCCTGGACGGGCCCCGAAAAAGGAGTTCGTGCTCCGTGCGGTGGGAAGGGCCAGCCGCCCGGAATCCAGGATCCCCTGGAACTGGCCGGGCTGCCTTCGGAAGCACGAGAGGCGAGGCTGGGAGATGCGCTCTGGGCTGTCTGGCGGCGGCAGGGTGGGGGCGTCACCGCTCACCCTCCGCCCTCTCCCCCGCCGTGCCCCCTGGCCCCGGAAGGCTCAGCCCCGCGGTGCTACGATGCATGGCACTGGACATTAGGCCGCAGGGGGTCCTCGAAGTCGTCCCCGGGGTGGGGCTCGCCAGGAAAGCGCCTCCCGCCAAAGTCGGGCTGCGGAAAGAACTCCCTCAGCTCCACCTCCTCCGTGTCCTCGGTGGCCATGACCTCCTCACGGTGGGGGAAGAAAGCCTGGAACTGCGGCAGCTGCTGTGCCGGCAGCCAGCCCGGCTCGGGGAACTTCACCTGCAGCGGGGCAGAGGGCCGTCAGCGGGGCGCCTCCGCCACAGGCCCCGGGAGCCGGAGCCGCGCGCGTGGTGGCCGCCCGCCCACTGTGGACGGCGCGAGCAGCCCGCTGCTCCGGACGCTCTGCCCGGCTGCACCAGTAGGGCCCTGCTCCCCAGGCCGGGGCGCTCCCCAGGCCCCCACAAGCCCCAGGGCGAGGCCTCGTGTCTTGGGGAGTCCTGCTGCCCATGACGTGCTTCGCTGGCCGCCCAGAAAGCTGGACAAGCGGCCCGGGGAGGGAAGAGGGCCCTGGATGGACCATTCCCAGGGGGCCTCCCCCTCAGCCGCCACCCATCCCAGGCGGCTCTGCACGCCAGGCCCCCGGGGGCTCCCCGTACCTTGAAGAGCACAATCAGCTTCCCCTTCTGCGTCGGGTTCCGGAAGATGGGCATCCCCTCGTTGGGGACGCACTTCATGTCCCCGGGCTTGATGACTGTTCCTGAGCGGACAAGGCAGCCCTGAAGGGGAGGGGCCCACCAGCCATGCCCCTCCTGCCCCCTCAGCACGGCAGCCACGCAGAGGAGCCGGCCCCCACACGCCCCGCTCCGCGCAGCCGCCCGCCTCACCTGGCCGCGAGGAGACCAGCAGCCGGCGGTTGTCCAGCGTCCGGATGACCTGCTTGCAGCCGCAGAGGGCGTCCACCAGCGCCACCTCCTTCTCGACGAGGAGGTCATTGCCCCGGCGCTGGAAGACGGGGTGCGGCCTCTGGTCCAGGACAATGACGATGTCTCCGGGCTCGAAGCCAGGAACCTGGTCGCCCTCCTGGTGGAAGGTGATCTTCTGCCGGTCCGCCATGCCTGTGGGGCAGCACAGAGGGGCTGCAGAGGGGCCACCAGCTCCGGTCCCTGGCGGGTGAGCGGCTGCCCGGGCAGGGCACAGGGCGAGCTGTGCAGCCCACGACCCCCCTCTGTGGCCCCGCCACTGGCCCAGGATGTGGACGCCGAGGTGCCCTGCCATGGGGAAGGGCCCCTGCGCCTCTGCTCACCTTTGTCCAGGTGGACGTGAAGGATCTTCTTTTCCCGGGTGACCTTCCGCCCGTTGCAGGTGAGGCAGCGGTCCAGGGGCCGCACCCACTCGCCCTGGCCCTGGCAGTGCGAGCACATCGTCTGGACCTGGTGCATGATGTTGAGGCCCAGCTGGTGCACCACCACTTCCACGCCGGAGCCGTGGCACTTGGGGCACCTGGTGTCGAGGCCTTCCCTGCCTCCACGGCCTGCAACGGGAGGCAGGGCGGCTTGCCGGGGGCCGAGAACAGGCCAGGCCCCGGGCTGCCTCTGCACCCGCTGGCCATGCCTGCCCGGCCACCCCCACACGGCTTCAAATCCGGGGAGCTCCTGGCTCAGCCAGCCCCGGGACGCATTCCACAAGGGGGGGTCATTCTCCAGGGCTACCGGCAGAAAGAGGGGGAGGCCCTTCCCACTTGCCGCCCAGCCAGCTTCCTGCAAGGAGCCCGGGACGGAGGCTGCCCAGGCGGGACCGCGAGGCTCTCCGTGGGGCAAATGTTCCGCTCAAAGAGAGTCCGGCCTTCGCAAGCCTTTCTATCAAAGGGCCCTTTCTAGGCACCGGAATTCCTTCGCTGGTCAGAAACCCAGGACCGACCCGCCCTGGTGGTGGGCTCAGGGGGGCACCTGTGCGCGAAAAGGAGAGGAGCCGGTCCCCCGCCTCGTCCCTTTAGCACTGGGGGACAACTCAGACACGGGCAAGGCACAGCTCCCTTCCAAGAGGCAGGCAGGAGACGAGAGGCGGGCCCCAGGCGGAGGCGGCCTGCAGGCACGGCTGCCTGCTCTTACCGCCACAACTTCTGCAAATGACGTTCTTCTGCAGGGAGAGCTTTCGAGTAGCGCCGTTGTACAGGTCCTCCAAGGTCACAGACAACTGGTGGACGGCTGTTTTTCCTGGGACGAGGAGACCCAAGGGGGGAAGGAATTAGAGAGCTTTGGCTGCCGGCTGCATGGAAATCACATCCAAGCAATCAAGCAGCACAAGCCCCCCACTGAGGGGAAAGTGCTGCTGTGGGGCAGCCCCCCGCCTCTTGCAGGCCCGCAGCAGCTGAGGTTGCTCCCATCTCGCCGGCATCCCCTCTCGGGCCGGCCAGGGTCCCTGCTGCCCCCGGACGCATCTGGGGGCACTTGAGCTCGCCTAAACCTCACAAACTCACTCCTTGGTGGTGCTGAATTTGAGACTCCTGCTTGCACAGGAGACAAATGCTCTGCTGGCTGGACAGGACCCGCTTTACTGCCGCTGAGTGGGGGACGGCCAGCAGCTGAGGCCACTGGAAGGGCAGGGGCAGCACCGTCAAGGCCCCACAGGCCTCAGAGCTTAAGGCCAAAGAGCCACAGAGTTATTCCAAGAAACTCCACGCCCCCCTTTCTGCCCACTGCAGGGAGACGGAGGGCGGGCCAGGAAGGCCCCCGCCTGAGCCCCATGGCTTTGCTGAAAGCCTGCCTGGGAAGCGGCCCCCTCCTGCCACACAATCCGGCGTTCTTTGCACGAGCCCCCGGGAGCCTGCTGTGCCCCACTGGCCTGTGGCAACGCTAAAAGGGCCCGTCTTGTGCTCCGGAGTTGAAAGCAAAGCTCCCGGCATCCCAGAGCCGCGCCAGCAGCACTGATTGGATTGCACATCCGGGAGAGTCACCATCACGAGCCCTCGGAGGCAGGAAGCCGTGCTCCTGTGAGCGCGTGACTCAGGCCGGCAGCTCAGGCGGCGAAGGTCCTGAGTCAGCAGGAGCTTGCCTGGCATGCGGAGCAGAGAAGGGAGCCGGGTGCGCAGGTGCAGCCGCTCGGGTGCAGCTGGAATTTGGGCAGGGCGAGCCGTGCCACTCCCTGGCTCCGGACGGCCCTTGCTGGGAGCCAGCCGCCTGTGGGGGGGGCGGGGCGGGACGGGACGGGAGCGGCCCCGCAGCCCCTGCACCTGGCAGCACGGCTCCGCGGCTGGTGCTGAGCCCCTCGGGGCTGGGGTGGGCCCGACGCCCAGCCCCTCCCGCTCACTCCTCCCTGGTCCCCCACGCCGGGAAGAGCTGCTTCCGCCTTCCTTGCGGCGCTTCCTCCACGGGCAAGCGGAGCACGGCTAGGAAGGCCGGCTGGGCTGCGCGGCTGGTTTTGCTGGGGGTGCTCCCCTGCCCAGCCCCTTCCTAAGGGGCCCACCTGTGCCAACAGCAGCGCCACTGCTGGGCTATTGCTCCCCCTGCCGAGATCGCCACGCCGAGAGCCACCCGCGAAGCCGGAGCCTTGGAAGCGGCCTCCGGCCGGCCGCACCCACTCCAGCCCCTCCTCCTCGACCCCCAAGTACCTCTCCTCTCCATGCGGGGTCCATGAGGGCGTCCCCCTCCTCCAAAGAACAGGTCAAAGATGTCCATGGGGGGCCCGAAGCCACCTCTGCCCCCCACGCCCCCTTCCTTCATGGCCCGCTCCCCACCACGATCGTACAGTGAGCGCTTGTGGGGATCCGAGAGCACTTCATACGCCTGCGAGATCTGCTTGAACTGCAGAGCGGAGAAGAGCAGGGGGGATGAGTGCGCCCCTGGGCAGCTGGGTGCCCCGGCCTCGGCCCCAGCACGCTCCCCCTCGGCACCTACCCGCTCCCCTTCAGTGGGGTTCTTGTCCGGATGGTACCGTAGCGCCAGCCGCCGGTACGCGCGCTTGATCTCCTCCATCGTGGCGAAGGGCTTTACGCCCAGCAGGTCGTAGTAGCCGGTTTCTTTCACCATCTTCCCTCCCGGCATGCGGTGTGGGGGACGGGGAAGGCGGCCTGGCAATCACGGTCCTGGCGCTCTGAGCAGAGGAGGCGAGCCGCCCCTCGGCTCGTGGTCAAGGCCCGGGAACCCTGTCTTCGTAAACACAGTAGAACAGCCCGCACGTAAAAAACTGCCTATACACCAAAAGCCCAAACCTCCACGAAAGGGTTCACCCACGGAAGGAATACCAGGAGCACCACGCCAGCTGCCGTGTGGAAGAGATGTCATTCACCGCCTCCTGCCACCCTCGACCTGCGGCCGCCCGTCCGGGGGCTTCTGCGGACCGCAGTGGGGCACGTCCACCCGGGTCTCCCCGCTCCCACCAAGCCTCCACCTGACACCGGCGCTGCCGCAGCGGCTGCCTTCCCTCGGAGCCCTGACGCCACGGAGGCTGGCAGAATGCCTCTGCGAGTGCGAAGCCGCGGGAGGAAGCCAGCAGGAGGGCGTGGGGCGTGCGTCAGGCTCCAAGGTGCTTATTAGCTGGCCTGCCCCACAGGACGAGCGTGTGCCTTTTGAGTCCCGCTGGGCGTGGGGTGCTGCGGGAAGGAAGAGGAGGTGGAGAGGCACCGACCGAGCCGGCTCCGCACTGCTCTACTTTCCGCTCTCCTTCATCTCACGCCCGTGGCAGTCACCACGCCGCTCTGCCCCTGCTCCGGAGGAGAACCAACCTGCGGCGCCACCCGCCGCAGAGGGCGAATGCGCACGGGGCAGCGGCCTCCCAGCCTCTGCCCGGTGCCGGTTCTGTGAGCATTGCCCCCGCCAACTTGTCCTTCGGCGCTGCCACAAGTCCAGGCGGCCCCTGGAGCGGCAGGGGAAGAGGCAGCCCCGCCAGCTGTTCTGCACGGACCACGCAGGCAGCCGTGTGCAGCGACTCCCCGGGGGCGGCCTTGCCTGAGAGCAGCCCGAGCACAAGGCCCGGGGCAGCTCCTGGACACGCCTGAGCTTCCCGGGTGAGGCAGCACGGAGCGTCTCCGGAGGGGCTTTGCTCCTGGGGCACAGGAGCGCTGGCAGGAGGCCCCCGGGAGATCAGCCGCAAGGCCTCAACCGCTGCGCGCGTTTCGCGTGCGTGGCCCACCACCCCACCACCGCGATGCGCCTCCTGCTCCTCTCTCTGGGGAAAGGGGCACGGCGGGATCCGGGTGAGGCCGAGCCACGCCAGGAGGGGCGGCACATTCCCGATGCCGAGCTGGAAGCGCCGACCGGCACCCGGCCACGGCTTGGCAGTGCCCTGACCAGCAGCCGCACAGGCCAGTTCTGCCGGCTCTGTCGTCCCATCTCCGGCCAAGGGCGACGGAAGCCCGTGGCACGCGCTGCTTTGCTGGCGGGGCGTTCAGTGCCTGCCACTGAGCGCCCGCTTGCATGACCACTGTGAGAGCCACCCAGGTCCCCACTGGGTGGACCAAGGGATGGGCCCAGGAGCGGGGGCCACTCGGCACCCCTTCCTTGACCAACACTGCCGTGCCTGGAGGGGATTCTGACGTGCCAGAGGTGAGTGAGGCATGAAGGGCAAGACACGACGACGGCGGCCGCTGCCCAGGGATCCCACGGAGATCCCGGCGGCTGCTCTCTGCACAGAAATCAGTCCACCGCTCTCCCCACACCCGTGCTGTTCCCTAGGCCGGTGGCACGTCTTTGGGAGGAGCCAAAGTGGAGTGGTGGAGCCCCTGCTTCACACACAGAAATTCAATTGCCAGCTGGGGCTGGAAAAGTTCTTTTCTGAACTGCTGGCTCGCCACCGCTGCACATGATATCAGCAGCGCCGGGCCAGACGGACAAAGAGTCCAACTCAAGATGAGGCGTTTGCTCTCCAGGCAAGGCGAGACTCAAGGGAGGCGCCTTAAGTGGGGCAGGCTGGGAACAGCCTCCTTCTCATGACAGGCCCAAGATTATCCTGCATATGCAAGAAACCCAGGACAGGTGCTGCCTTTGATCTCTGTGGCAAGGCAGGGCAGGCGATGATGACCTGCTTGGCCGGTTTGCACCTAAGGGACCGGCACCCAGGATGCTGCCCCAGACCGGGAGCTGCCGCCACGATACAAGCTCCAAGCTTTCTAACAATGAGAGCTTCGGCGTGCCCAGGTCCAATCCGGCTCCGTGCACGGGAAACGCAGTCTCCCAATCTCGCCCCTTTGAATTGGCCACTGGCTTCCAGGCGGAGCCGCGGATGGAGGCCAGACAGGTCCCCGGAGGCCCCCCGGCACGGGGGCAGGCAGCTCCGCAGGCCCCCGGCTGGGCCCCCGCAGGCTCGGCCGCATCATCGGGGCGGCTCGCCTGGGCGTCTTCTTGCCCGCAGCGCCCCGGCCCGCTCTGCTCGGGCTCCGCCGCCTCCCGCCTGCCCGCGGCGCACGGGCAGCCGCCTTCCGCGCCAGCTCCCGGGGCTGCCGCCACTCGCTCTCCCCGCCCGAGCAGGTGCCGGCAGCGCGCAAAGGGCGCCTGGAACCGCCGCCGCGGGCCGCTTCCTCCGCGGGACCGGAGCCGCACACGCACGGAGGCCGCCGGCCTGGCCCGGGCCGCCCTTTCCGCAGCCGCCGTGCCGCGATTCCCGGCTCTCCGAGGCGGGCAGGGGCCGCGGCTTTCCTCGGAGGGAGCTCGCCCGCCCGCCCGCGGCGCCATTGTCCGCATCGGCGCCTGGGGGCCGGGCGCCGCTCCCCGGCGAGCCGCCCGGCCCCGCCGCCTCCGGGACGCAGCACCACGGCCAGCGCCCGGGGGGACGCGCGCCGTCCTCCGGGAAGCGCCTCGCGAGGGCGGGCGGCCCGGAGGGTCCCGCGGGCAGCGCGGCCGCCGAGAGCTGGGGAAGGGGCCGCCCGGGCGCGGGGCAGGGGGCGCACGGCGCCCAGGAAGGGCCGTCGCCCCGCGGCACGGTGCCTTTTCCGGGGATTCCAGGGCCCAGCATCCGCGGCAGGCGGCGCGGGCCACGTGTGCCGGGGAGGGCAGCGGCGAGGGGACCCAGGCGTCCGAGGCGCCACTCACCCTTAGGCGCTCCGGCCTCCGTGCTGCCGCCTCCCTTCTAGGAACTCTCTGGAAGCGGGGCCACGCCCCTCCCGCGCCGATTGGCCAGCGCGTCCAGCGAGGGGCCCACCCATTGGCCGGCCCCCGCGGCTCCTCCGGGGAAGCTCCGCCCACGCGCCTCTTCCTCAAAGGAACGCCGCCCTTCCCTCCAAGACCGTTAGGAGAACGGCCCGCCTCTGCGCTTCTCTGGTTGGGCCGGGAGCCACCGCCACCACCCCCGATTGGGCCTCCTCGCCCAGGCAGAAGGAGGGAAAGTCGCGTCGCCGCGGCACGCGGTGCGGAGCTTCTCGGGCTGGCGATCCGCGCGTGTCCCGCCAGGGAAGGCGCTGCGCACCGGGCCGAGCCTTCGCTGCCCGGGACTCCGGGCTCCCGTTCACGTGCATTGTTTGTCTGCCAGAGGGGCCCGTGGACACGCTCTCAAAGAGGCTGAATGACAACCTCCGCCCGGGAGAGCTGCTGTCGTTGCATGTAATCCGCATAAGGGCATATATGGCATCAAAAGCACTTGCCCCTTACAGGTTGCGATCTCAGTAGCAAGCTCTGTACGAGGCCATATATTTTCTGTTATCAGAAGGGAAGAAAGAAAACTTGTGTTCTGGAACCAGTCCTGAATCATGCTGCTCACCGTGTGCAACGTGTTAGAAGTCACTGTGCTTACAGGAAAGGCAGTGTGGTTTTATGCACAGTCTGGCAATGGGCTATATATACTTTTACACACACACATACACACTGTACTTCAGTTGTACCCCCGGTCCCTGAGATTACGTCACAAATTGCCTCTTAGGAATACAGTGGCTCCTTGGCTCACGAACTTAATCCGTTCCAGGACTCTGGTTCTGACCCGAAGTGGTCGTGAGCCAAGATAAATTTCCTCATAAGGGTCAATGTAAATAAGGTTAATCCGTTCTGTAACTTTTTTTTTTAATCAGAAAAATGTGTAGCAAAGTGACAACAACAAAGATCGTGGCCGTCTCCCCGCCCCCCCAGCACGACCACAATTGTGCCCGTCATCCCTGCACATGCCCGTCATCCCGGTGGGCTGGAGGGGGAGACAGGCGCGAACGTGGGCACGCTGGGGGGCAGATGGCTGCGATCGCAGTCACCACTCGATGAGGAGTTTGCGACCCAAGTCAAAATTTTTATGATGTTTTTGTTCGCGACAGAATTTGGTCTTGAACTGAGGCCGAGGTACCACTGTATGCTTTCATGCTCTCTGGATTTAGTTCCACCTACAATCCTTTGTGAATTTAGGCAGAAAGGGGCCTTCAGTTCCCAATGAGTGCATCCAGGAATGCTGGAAGATGTACACCTTGATGCATTGGATTGCCTTGGATAACTAAAATTCTCCTGAGCATAGTAAACCTATTTTTGGGGATCCAGTGGGTATTAGATGATATCTGAACATGGATGATACATGTTTTACGAGCGTCCAGAAAATATTCCTGCCAATTACCTTTTCTTTATCATCAAAACAAGAACACAGTATGAAAAGGTAAAACAATACAATTATTTCTCAAACACGTAGCACATAATGCAAACGGAAATAACTTTAAGGAGCAAGTTAATCCCCATGTCTTTTTGCAGCTTTCCTTCCATGTCTCTGTTACCTATATTTATATAGTATTTTTTTCTCATGACTAAACAAGAGCTACTGACTTGAAAGAAGCTCCTGAACTGAAATACTTGGTTGTTTATGTTTTGTTTTGTAATTTAGACGCAATATTTCCTTTCTCATCATTTTAAACACTAAGGTAAGCTGTCCTGAGATGTTTTATCGGGCAGGATGGGATAAACATGTTTTAAATACATAAATAAGGTCAAAGGAACCTCTTGATCCATGTTTCAGGTGCTTTCATTAGATCCTAGCACGGACTTTCTAA